AGACTTTGTTTCTCTGTGCACACGTCAGCTGCGCACTTTGAACTCAACAGTTCAAAAAGATGAAATATCAAAGAGCAAAGGATTGAGATGAATTTAAAAAAATAAATAAACTTGACCAGCTATCGCTCAGACCTGACACTAGTGACAACACAGCAGAGAAGGAGGAGTCTACTCAGTGTGATCTTGTCTATGGTCTGTCATACTTTCAACAGGAGATTATAGTTTGTTTTTTATTTCATTTTATTTATGATTCCTTCTTCTTTAAGTTTTTTTCTTTCACAAATGACCTCTAGAGGGAAAATATTAAAGGTAAGTTCAGAAAGTGTCACTTTTATTTTTCTATTGTTATTTGCTGGGGCATAGATGCTTATGTTTTATGTATTATTGTTATTATTAATTTTGGTCAAGATGCAAGTCATGGAGAATATAAACTGTATGAATTATTATTGTTTTCTATTTTTTAAATTTTGCAGCTGAGGCTCTTTCTCCCACTGCCTCCTCCCAGAACATCAGAAGATCCTCTGAAGGTAAAGATGATAAAACTGAGAAACCACTGAAAATATCCTTCAAGTTGGTGTGAAAAAAAAAACAAAAAAAACAGAGACTGAAGTCATAAAAATCCAAGCAGCTGTGAAAGGCTGCGATGCAGCTGCGGTTGCTCTTCTTTGAACGCAGCCTTTTTTATGTTTTACCTATAAAATTTAAGCACTTTGTTTATAAAGTGACAAATTACTCATCAAAATATTTATTCCCTAATCTCTACACTCCTCTAAACCATATTTAGCAGAAGAAACCACATAAAAGTGTGTATTTATGATAATTTTTACATCATGTCATTAGAATAAAATAGATATTGTTTACTCACTTCAGGTGCTTTTCGGTTGATTTGTGTCTTTTAGCTGTGTCCACTGAATTCTTTCTGTCCAGCTGCTTTTCAACCCCATTAGTTGAAGAAAGAAAATTGAAAAAAACAAAACAAAACGAGTGGCTTTGTTCTACGGTGCGCCCCAATTCTTTTGTCCTCTGGTGATTAATACAGCACACAGCTACTTTGTCTTTACCAGGTCAGTGAGGACAGGAGACATTTATCTAAATCATATAAAAAAACCACAAAGGGAGAAAAGTAGTGGTTTTCACAGGTGACTCAGCAGCAGGGTTCACTCAGATGCTAAGAAGTTCTTTAATTTTGATGGTATCTCAGGATTAGGCTGTTGTTTCCAAGATAAATTGCCTGAAAATATGTGATTAATGCAAATGATCAGCTTTTAAGTTTTGATAAAGTTAAATGATAGCGAAAGTGGTAAAGGTTTATCCATCTCTTCTTCTTTTTCATTGACGTGTTAAGCTGGAAGTTTGGTGGAAGACATCAGTGAGATGATTCTTCAGCTACGGAGACAAGTGGAGAGTTTGTTCAGCATTAAGTACGGTACGTGTCGGGATGTTTCAGGTGATTTTCACAATATTTTAATAAAAAACAAACAGGGTAAAGTGCAGTGTTTAACTGCTTCACCCGTGAGGCCTCACTTCTAAAAACCAAAACTACTCAACAAAGGCAGAATAAAGCCAGTGATGCCTTCACTGTCTTAGGGAAAAGTTGGATTCCTATATTTTATTTCACTCCTCTCCTTTCCCGTCTCTGTCCCTCTGTCTTAGCCGAAGCCCTTGGTCTTCCTGAGTCGGCCAATGTCCCGTACTCCAGGTTCCAGATGTATCCAGAGGATCTGTACGTCACTGGGCTGCCGGAGGGAATCGCGCTGCGAAGACCCAGCTGTTTTGGAGCGGCCAAACTGCGCAAGATCTTAGCTGCTGGTCATCAGATCCAGTTTGTAATCAACAGGTGGGAGTCATTTCACTTCACTACCACCAGAACAAAAAAACCTGCTGAGTGACTGATGTACAATGTTGGTGTTTCTCTACAGACCTGAGCTGTTAACAGAGCAAGTCAAACAAGAAATGCCTTCAATTCCTGTCTGTGAATCAGGTACTGACACATTTGTACAAACATGTGTTTTCAGATTTCAAACAAGACCTGTAATTTACTCTAAAGTCTTGGAGCGTGGTCATGAATGTGAAAATTCTTATCTCATCTGGGTCTCATCGTCATGAATGTGAAAATTCTTATCTCATTATCTGAGTCTCATCGTTGGTTCAATGTCAGTCATTTCTCGTTCAGTTTGTGCACATTGAGATTGTGACCAGTTTGCTAATTGTTTGTCCTGTTCTAACACAGAATGTCGCCAAATGCTAAGGTAAAATCATCATAACAGCATTTGAAGTGATCGTATTTTGAAAAACAAAAAACAAAACACAATTGAAATTCTGATGTGACTCAGGACAATTTGCCTCATTGACAAACTGTCACAGACTCTGCATATTAAAGGGGACACATTATGCAAAATTGACCTTGTCAGGCTTTTGATCCACATATTTTTGTCTCTGGATTGACTGTTGCCACACATGAGGCGCCATTACGGATGTGCAATTTTTCTAGGAATCGAACTCAGGAGTCCTGCAGTTTAAAATCTGCCGTACAGTATGGCTTCTCTATTTGGTCGCCTTTTATTTGTTTTTTTTTAGTTTGAGTCTTAAGTGTTTGATCGGGTCATATTTGAATAGTGAAGTGGGAAAAAAGTTGGACTGAGCACACAGTAGATCAGTCTGAATATCCTGTGGTACTGATGTAGTGACTTGATGAGGAGGTCAGTTAAGGTGCATGTTGGGACAAATGCATTAATTATCGTCCAACTGGTAATAACTGATACCAGAGGAGAAAAGATACAATGAAAAAATATTAAATAAAAAAAAACTATTCGCTGTTTATAATGTGAGCTTTAAATGTTGTAAAAAAAGATGTAATTCTGCAGTGTTTTCACACAGTTGAGGAACTGAAGCTCAGAAGATTGAGTCAAACCTCTGCAGACTCTGGTGTGATATCAGGCTGTAAATATAAAATCCAACTCTCCTCTGAGTGTGTGAAAATTACGAGGGTCAAATCCAGTTCCTGCTCTATTTTTAACAGCACTTTTCCAACAGCAGAGAGAGAGAACAACCTTGCAGGGCTTTTCCTGCAGCTACCTCTGCCTGTTCTTTTATTTATGACGGAGCTCATCTGATGAAACCAGGAGCCTTCTGAATTTTTTATTTTTTATTTTTTGCTTGAGGAAGTCCTGAAGGAGAGAGGATAAAAAAACCAAAGACTTACCCTTAAATATTTCTTGTTCAAAGATCTGGACAAGGACGTAGTGGTGACAGAGGACAGCGCAGCCATATCCAAAAGACCTGGGTTCTCAGGTAGGTTATGTTCTGATACTTTACTTAAATGCAGCCAAAACTAGAATCTTAAATTTGGTCAAGCATCACATTTCTTTATAAAAGAGCAATAGAAAAAGTAGAAATGTTCAGACATGAGCTTTCAAGTGTTGTTTTGACCAAACTTGTGTCTTGTGTTCTTTGTCCACAGAGTGTCTGGAGTCCAAACTCTCCAGGATCGACCTGGCCAACACTCTGCGGGAGCAGGTCCAGGATCTGTTCAACCGGAAGTACGGGGAGGCGCTGGGCATCAAGTACCCGGTGCAAGTGCCTTACAAGAGGATCAAGAACAACCCAGACTCAGTCATCATCCAGGGTCTGCCGCCTGGGATTCCTTTCAGGAAGCCCTGCACCTTTGGCTCCCAGAACCTGGAGAGGATCCTGGCCGTGGCCGACAAAATCAGCTTCACCATCACCAGGTAGGGAAAACACTGTGCCTTTAGTCTTACATCTTGAATTCCTGGTTTGTTTCTAAGGCATTTAGATGGATGGATGGATGGATGATGGATGACTATTTATCCCCGAAGGGAAATGAGGTTTTCATAGCTGTCCAATGTATTTGAACACAATAAAAAAGCAACAGCATAAAACACTGAGGTGGAAAAAAATGCATGTTTCCTCCTGAGAAATGGTACCAGAAACTAGAGACAGTACCAGAAAGTATCCAGTAAAGTGTCATCTCAGGATCCAGGAAACATATGGCTGTACACCGACCATTTGTCAGTCCAAATTATGGTTCTGTACCAAAGGGAAGTGTTGTGTAGTTTTGGCAGGAGGAACATTTCATTTCTTATTAGTGTAAAGCAGCACTCCAAGCCAATAGATAAGATCTAGTATTTACAACTGAGAATGTCACCTTGGAAGTCGTCTAGCTCTACTTTATCTCTGCAACAGAAAGTTCTGGACGCTTTTGCGCCTCAAAAATATGTAAGGAGGAACGAGCTGCCAATTTTCACTGACTTGGAAAAAAGATTTCTTTTTGCCACAGTAACAAAACATCATCCAAGTGTATAACAAAACGTAGGAAAAATTTCCAAAAATAAAATGTAATTTCTTGTAAAGTAATTTACAAAATACTGTGTAATTGTCAGTTTCTTTTTTTAAAGATATAACCTGTAAAAAACCTCTTTGTCCTGATTAAAACATAATTTTCCATCCTTCATCTTTTCTTTTTCTTTCTTTTCCCAGACCTTTTCAAGGACTCATTCCCAAACCAGGTACGGTCAGACTTTGTTCTGATTAACTAACTGTGACAGAGCTAATATTATATTAATGTCATGGAAAATGAATTCACCCTTTGTCCATTTCATCAGCACCGCGAAGAGTCACTTTGTTGAAGAAGGCCTATTCCTCCATAAGCGGTGAGGGGATTAATGTTTCATAAACTTTCTGACATCTTTTTTTTCTGTCTTTTTGTCACACATTAACACCATCGACTGATTCTAACTGTTTTTTAACAACTCAGATGACGAGGACATGAATCGAATGGGAGAGAAAGTAGTTCTGAGGGAGCAGGTCAAGGAACTGTTCAACAAAAAATACGGTGAATAGAACAGTTGTTTTTTGAGAAAATATTTTCTTGATAATATTGTATAAAGCGCTCGAAGGAGTTTATTCTTTCCAACACCTATAGAGACAGAATGAATACAGTTCACCATAAGGTCTAAAGAAATATGAATTGAAGAGAAATAAAAAACGAAGGACACGGGGAACGAAAGCAAGAAAACATGAACTAGAATAGACCAAATTATCAAAGAGAGTAAGAATGTGCTAATTGTGCTTATTGTTAACCCCCAAAACAGCAGGAGTTAGTGGAAGCCCAGGAGATGATAAACGCTAGTCACAACGGCCAAAGGTAAAGCTATATAAAAGTAGCTAAAAGTTCCGTTATATACAGTATCGTCCCCAGGTTATTAAAGTTGATACATAAATATCTAGAGTTTAGCTATAAATGTAGCTGCGGGGAAGGTTTGACAAAAGGCAGTCTTAAAATTTTAATTTTAATATTAAACTTGAAAACAGTCAAAATAGTTGAAAGTTTATACATCAACACTTATATAACCATTAAGTTGAAAGTTTATACATCAACACTTATGTAACCATTAAAAAAACAAAAAACATAACACTCTTCTGTCTGTGTTGTGTTCAGGTGAAGCTCTGGGCTTGGACCGCTCCGTCATGGTGCCATACAAGCTCCTCCGGGGCAGCCCAGAGTCGGTGGAAGTCTGTGGCCTTCCAGACGATATCCCCTTCAGAAACCCAAACTCCTATGACATCATGGCCTTGGAGAAGATTCTTCAGGTCGCCGACAACATCACCTTCACCATCAAGAGCCAGTTACAGTGAGTCCCTGGACGTTCTTACTTCTTGTAGAATGTAAAAATCTTTCCTCCGTCACCAGAAGTGACTCAGCACTTTTTCTCTCTCTTTCACACACAGGCCTTTTGCAGAATTCTGCAGCCAGCCATGTGACACCGGTAGGTGATGTGTTTAAAGACTTCAGTTAAATCCGTCTTTTACTGA